GCTCAAAACCGTAGCTTAAGTAGTACAAAGATAACATATCTCTGACTTCGATACCAGAAAATAAAAGTCTGAATTGCATAGTTGCTCATAAATACCATACTGAAAAATACTTACAAGCAGACAATCAAGCTTTTGGATTTCTTTAGCGATTATATTCAAACACTCAGCAATTCAATGATTGACAGATTTATGGTAGTTGATTCACACGATTGATATGCTGAGAAATAATCAACCTTTAGTAGTATATCCTCCTGTTTTTCCACTAGATGACATGAATTTTTGATATGTACTTAAATTAAAACAGTTGTTTTGTTAATGGTGCTGAAACTGGATCGTTGTAGTTGTAGTGCACCTTCCTGGCACCAAAATATAACTAGGGCTAAAATAAATAGTTTAAATTAACTAAATAAGTCTCTAGCTTGCCTCGGATGCTTAGAGTGTTTTAAGTTTTGTTTTAACGAGCATGCATCCGAGCAGGCTTGGACGCCATTTTGCGCTCCATTGTGCTGATTACCACGTACGTACTCCGAGTCCCTAGTTCAGCCTTACAAGCCAGATAAGTTGATTAAACTTTTCCCCCATTCATTATTGTTAAATTTACTTTAATTAAATACATAGCTCCTTCAAATACATTGAGTATCAGTTCTTTTGATTTGTGTTTTGTTATCAGTACTTACACGTTAGGTAAAGTACTGGCTAAGCAGGTACTAGAGCACATCAAGTTAAGTAGGGTTGATCAAACGTTAGGAATTGTAACACGCACCCCTACATAGTCATGACAGCTGCGTGTCAGGTTTAACAACTCAGATTTTAGGTAACACTATAATGTTTAGTAATGATGGGCAGTAGCTAGCAGTGGAATCCAGGATGCGCATTTCATCCTATTTGGGACTCATCAGCTGGATGTACCTGCTTCCCAGTGAGTGATGTTGTTCCCACCCATATGCCCATATGCCAACAGAGACAGATCAATTCGGTCCAATCAACGACGGTGTAATACAAGCAATAACACTAACACTATAATGGCTTGAAAGATACCGGAGGTGGATGGCACGGCGTATCCTTTGAATTACAACACGATGAAGTCATAAAAACAGAGACCAAACCTAACTAGAGAATGCAGTTTGATAGATATTAGTTGTTTGAACGTAATCGGTAGGTAACCTTGGTCCTAGGTTCTGAGCTTTTTGCCACAGGTCTGAAAGGCATATCTGCACCTTAAACAGAACCGATGTCCCATAACTGGCCTCATGTAGGACTGTTTTCCATACATTGACTGGTCAACTAAAACGTAACCGGTTTCATATTCTCTAGTCCACAGTGCTGACTGAATTCTGTCGATCGTTTTTGTAATACAGCCAACAGGCGGATTGTCTTCAACCTACTAACATCTGTAAGAGTAAAACTTGTGCACTAAAGTAGAATGTAATTCCACTTTTATTGATTTATTAGATTTATCACAAAGTGTAACAGTATTGTTTACTGGATTACGTTTCGGACATAATTTATTGTCCATAGTCGTCATATCAAGATAACTACACAACTTTGAGATATCCTTTATAGAGTCCTAATTTTCTCGTCTCTTTATGAGATGGGCACTAAAACTTTCCTAAGTCCGAAATAAGTGCTGAGTCATTCCTGTCGCATGTGTTAGATGTTGATTCGATAAGCAAAGATTCAGTTATCAATCTCTCTCTCCACCCTGTTATGTTAGCTTTAAGAATTTTCACCATGTCCCATCCTATTGTGTGGTTGTGTAACTGCACGCATAACTATGACTGAGCTTTTTCCTAAATTCCTTACATTACTAGGATCTACCAATTTTGACCTAGCTAAGTTTTTGTGTTCCGATAGCCTAATTGATCCTGGTCGACTACTTTGACCTATTTATTTGACCTTGCAATCGTTACAAAGGATTTAGTAAACTAAGTTATTCTGCTTAATTGGGTCAATAGGATCTTTTAACCTACAAAGCTTATTTCGAAGTGAGTTTGTAGGTTTAAATGTCACTCTAATCCCAGCCTTATTGAGAATTCTACGTAGTGTTTCTGAGGTGTCTTCTTTATATGGTAATACAGTGGAGGTTTGAATCCTCTATTCACAGTATTGCCGCTACTATTATTAACATCATTATCAACACCATTATTACCATTATTGTTTCTGTTATTATCACTATCATTACTACTATTAATAACTGCGTTAGTGGTATTTTTCTTACGATTCCTAAGGAGCTTATCAATTAATTTGGGAGGGCAATTGTTGATGATTAAGGCGTCTTTAATGTATTTGGTTTCTTGTTTTAGATCTTCTGTTTTACTAGGAAGTTTTTTGACCATGTTACTCAGACACTTTACCAAGCTAACTTCAACTGGCATAGAGTGAGACGATTTGAAGTCTAAGTAACGGTTTGAGTGTGAAGATTTTCTGTAGACATTAGTGTCTAAACTCCCGTCTTGTTTCCGTTTTATTCTGCAATACAACATCTCTAATTCTCCTTCACTATTTTCTAATCCATAGGTGAGTTGGATTGCGTTGACTACTGAATTTATGTGTGAAGAAATTATGTATTCGTTCCAATTTCAGCACTATAAAAGTGTCGTCAACATACCGAAACCATATTTTTGGAGCCTGACTACATTTTTCTACAGCCATCCGTTCCTAACTATCCATAAATATGTCAGCCACAATACGGAATATTGGTGATCTCATGACAACTCCTTCTGTTTGTTTCTATATTTTATTCTGAAACCTAAACATTGTGGAAGTTAGGCATAGCTGTACTTCTAGTATGATATCATCTACTGGTACCTTAGTTCGTAGAGTAATCTCATGGTCATTATTGAGCTCGTTTCTAACTGCTTCCAGGGCCATATCGATTGGTATTTGGTATACAGACTGACTACATCAAAACTAACCATTTTTTCATTGTAACCTAAATGTATGTCATCTAATTTGTGCTTCGAGTCATAAGAGTTACTAAGTCTTGATTTAGAAGGGTTCCAGGGCCAAAAAACTTCCTAGTAAAACAGAAGATCTAAAACAAGAAACCAAATACATTAAAGACGCCTTAATCATCAACAATTGCCCTCCCAAATTAATTGATAAGCTCCTTAGGAATCGTAAGAAAAATACCACTAACGCAGTTATTAATAGTAGTAATGATAGTGATAATAACAGAAACAATAATGGTAATAATGGTGTTGATAATGATGTTAATAATAGTAGCGGCAATACTGTGAATAGAGGATTCAAACCTCCACTGTATTACCATATAAAGAAGACACCTCAGAAACACTACGTAGAATTCTCAATAAGGCTGGGATTAGAGTGACATTTAAACCTACAAACTCACTTCGAAATAAGCTTTGTAGGTTAAAAGATCCTATTGACCCAATTAAGCAGAATAACTTAGTTTACTAAATCCTTTGTAACGATTGCAAGGTCAAATACATAGGTCAAAGTAGTCGACCAGGATCAATTAGGCTATCGGAACACAAAAACTTAGCTAGGTCAAAATTGGTAGATCCTAGTAAGGTAAGGAATTTAGGAAAAAGCTCAGTCATAGTTATGCGTGCAGTTACACAACCACACAATAGGATGGGACATGGTGAAAATTCTTAAAACTAACATAACAGGGTGGAGAGAGAGATTGATAACTGAATTTTTGCTAATCGAATCAACATCTAACACATGCGACAGGAATGACTCAGCACTTATTTCGGACTTAGGAAAGTTTTAGTGCCCATCTCATAAAGAGACGAGAAAATTAGGACTCTATAAAGGATATCTCAAAGTTGTGTAGTTATCTTGATATGACGACTATGGACAATAAATTATGTCCGAAACGTAATCCAGTAAACAATACTGTTACACTTTGTGATAAATCTAATAAATCAATAAAAATGGTACTAACATCTATCTATATTCATCGTAATATTGTGCCTTCCAACTTGGTGGCTACACTGCGATATAATCGACAGAATTCAGTTAGCATTGAGGACTGGACAACGTGGAATTGTTTGCTTTCCCGTGATTTATCAATCTTTAACTAGGGCGTTTTCAGTCAAGCTTTTATGATTCAATGAATCAGTCATACAAACGTCGGAAGGTATTTAAAAGGAAAGTGAATAGAATTTGCATTCTTAAACATATTTATATCATTTTTCTAGGTATAAAAAGACCTAACAAAAAGTATTTTTGGCACCAGATGATGACTGAAAATGAAATCAAAATTTAGACTCTAGCTGGACTCGAACCAGCAGCCTACGGGTTACCAAACCAGTAATCTATAGGTCATTTTATTTAGTGTAACACATAAAAGTAACCACTATTACTAAATGACTCGAAAGGTCATTATGATAACCACTGCGGTAACCGATTTGAATTTTTTACGTCGGCTGGACATTTTTAGCTTTTTCATAATATCAAGAAACCCATTTCCCTATTGTAGTCGTTACAAGAGTGATCTTTAGAGCTATCCTTTATTTGGTGTATGTACCAGTGGTAATTCACTTTATAACTATCAGATCTCAGTGATTGCAAATTGGTATGTCATTTTGTTACCGTTTGAATTCTCAATTTTACATTTTACACTTGAAAGTCATCTGGTGTATTAAATATCAAATGAATAAATCATATTTTCAGGTAATAAATATTTGGTAGTTAATGTAGTTAACATACTTCAGAGAAATAATAATAATAATCACACAGATATTATTTGGTCAAGGTCATTCATCACCCACTACTGTCCACCCACTAGGCCTCATAAAAGTCACCAATCACATTTTAGTATGGTATATTGTCTAAGTCATATTGGATTGATAATAAATAAATACTACATTTGATGGTGCCATTTTTATTCACATAACAAAATGCACTAGCAGTCACACATCACTTTTCTGTTGTATTTTACTCAGGTGCATAATTATTCACATCATAGATTATTACCAAAGATTTAACAACTTTTGCTTCCTGAAAGACACATACATCTACCATTCACAATGTATGGATATTGTTTAAAAATACTTCCTAATTTGTCGTATTCATCTCAACAAAAGTGGCGTATACAATTGAAAGAAATACTATTTCAATTCTTAAGTGTTACTTGCTTTATTTTAATATTTGTATTCAGTGCTACAACATGCTGGACAATGTGGCTTTATTTACTTATTAAATTAATGAAATTATCCTATACAGTTGGAAATGAATTTATTACAAATGAGAAGATACTTATTCATCCATATGATGAAGTATTCAATAATGAAAAATTATTCTATTCATTTGCACAATTTCTAATATTGTTCATACTGATGACATCATATTGGATATATTGGCGAATTGATAAAGGCTCTGAAGAGAAAGGAAGTCATCCAAAAAAGTTTATTAGAAATCTCATTATCTGGAAGTATTTAGCTGATTACTTTCCGATAAAACTTGTTCTTACCGAATTGTACAGCACTCAAGAAGATAAACATACTACATCTGGAGTTCCTGAAGACAGCACTATCGTCGATCTTCATGATAACAGTCAAGAGAATGATAACGACCATAATGACAATGATAGACGAGATAATCAGACAAGCATAACTGACTGTGACAGTCCTATGAGTAGACAACAATTGACATGCATAAAACAATTGTTCCCTGCAACTAGAAACTATCTAGTGGGCTATCATCCACATGGAATATTCGGAATAGGCTCTTTTGTCAACTTCTTAACTGAAGCTAATCAATTTAGTGAGAAATTTCCAGGGATTACACCTTGGTTAACAACGCTAGAGATTAATTTCAAGGCTCCATTACATCGTGATATACTCATGTCGTTTAGTAAGTATATAAATAGTCTTTTGATATCTTATTCTCTTTAAAATGTTTCGCTTTTTATACATGAATATCAGTAATATGCAATTTTTCGTCAAATTTGAAAGTTGCAACGTGTGTTTTAAAAAAGGAGTTAGTGTTGGGGGACAAAATAGAATAGATATTGTGTATTATGTTGTCATACAATAAAACCTTACTTGATATATATACATATATATCCAGTGAGAGTGGCGGTCTCACATAATAGGGGAATGTTGAATTACTTGGAGACTATAGTACTGTGTGATGCATGCTCAAATCTCTGAGGAGACATCAATTCCCCTGAGACTGCAAATACACCTTGTCGAGGGGTACAAACAACTACAGAACCTAGGTTCAGGGCTTTCTGCTGACTGATTCCAACTAATTCATATATATCAGTGTGCACTAGGATGGTAAGTATCCTAGCTTAGTGGCCACATTGCAAGGTGATCAAAAGACTTCAATCAGCACTTAGGACTCGATAATGTACAATTGGTTACTTTACAATGGTCAGTGTAATTTTGAATTTTTGTACACATGCAAATATTAGTAGAAAGAAGGCGCAGTTGTGCAACCATGTACCGCTTTCTTAACTTTTCTATTAGTTATATTGTCTAAGTAACGAGTGGACAGTTTTACATAGTTCCATGAGTTAAGTTGACGGAGTAACATTTCAATTCATGTATCTCTGGTTGGACTTCCGATATGTAAACTCCAGAGTAGCATTTGCTTGAATCCTTTTCTTTCTAACTAAGTGATGGCACAGAGGTTGATTTCTGTCTTCATTTTTTGAAATCTATGAAAATGGGGTAAGTTGGTTTCGAAACAACAATACTGGAAATAAATAAATCGTGCAATTCCCATTATAAAAGTTGATTTGAAGAAGACATTTGATGAGGCATTTTCTACCTCACCGAACAAAATCAAACAGTAGTAAAAGAGATAAGACAATTGCAACGAACATGAATTTTTCTTTTCAACAAACTCATTCTCTTATTTGAAAATATAACAGAATGGATAGGACATTCCAGAATAATTTCCAGTCAGAGGCCAAAATGCACTGCATAGTATTGCACAATATTTGAAACAATATGGATTTCAGGGTAGTACCCAATACATATTGACATCATTTGTAGACCTGCTGAAAACGTAGAAGTTCTGAACAGCTCTTTAGTCCCACGATGGTACTCTTCAGTAGTTGGTGCCCATGACCTCGCTAAGAGACAAAGTTAGCACCTTCACTTCTGGCGGACTCTAGTGTTCCATGGTTTTCAACGGTTTCTTAGCTGATGTTAGCTTGTGATGAATACTACAATTCAATAAATCAGCCTCTACGAGCCTCAAACAATAGGAACTCAAGCATTCAATAATACAAAGAAGAAATTTCTTCATTACTGTCTTCTTAATAAGAATGAACATAGGAACCATTGGACTACCCCATTTTGTATCATTGAATACTCAAGACAGCTAGAATAGAATTGAAAATAATCAAAGTAGGAATCATAATGACATGTTATATTGCATGAAATGTGTAACCCTTAAATGACTAACATAATCCTGAGATGATATGTGCACTTCTTAAAGTCACATGGACAAATCATAATCAAACGATTGGAAACTTGATAACATGTGGAGTTTATTTAGTGTTGATGATATCGTCTAGAAAGACAATGAAAGCTCTACGATTTAACAACCCAGCTTAAAAAACACAATACAACCAATTTTATTTATCTAAACTGAAATATTTAACTGCCGAACAAAATTGAACATTCACTTCCATTGTGTCTTAAACTTATGATGAATTTGTATTTTGTCAAGCGATTCATCCAGGTAGAGAACTCAGTAATTTGATTAAAGATAAACTCATATCTATTGGTAGTCCATTAGCCAGATAAACATACAGACAAATTCCAACAAAATAGATCCATAGGTCCATTCTGAATGGTTTAAGCGGCTACACATCACATCAGCGCACTGAGTTGGAGGCTGGAAAGAGACATTATGAAAAGTGAATGCCCTATCGTTAGAAGTAATTCAGAACCGTACAGAATGACATTACGGTTTTGAGAAAGGCAAGATTTTGGTCCATCTCGGCAAATATGATGAATGACGAGCAACGTGACCGAAAAGCTTCCAGTCATCTCTTCTAGCCCTTCGTAGGACCCTAACTTGAAGGCCAACATTTTCCTGCTCTTTTCACAGACTTAATCTGTGCTCATTAAGAAACAGTTTCTTGCGTAGAATCACAGTTATATACCATTAAATGACAGTGGAATATATCCAAGATCTTCACCATCAAATATTACTACTTCAGCATTAGAGTTGCACTGAGAAAAACTGACTAGAATGCCAGTGTATATTCAGCTATTAGCGTTCTTAGTTAAGAAGACACGTGAATATAGAATGACCGATTTGCAAGTTATTTACAAGCTGCACAATCCATATCAACACTGCTCACAAAGTAGCTTTCCAAATGAACAACCTTGGTACCAGACGAATGAAATGGCCATCCGGAAAGCAGATCACTTTGATATGGTTAGCGAAATCTACAAATCAGTTTCAGTAGTTTCTAACTACTCAGTTCAGTATTATACACCTTCGCCTAACTATTCATTTCCCATTTAGAATATCTACAGTTATTTCAGTTTGCTATTCATGCATTGGTAACACTCCAATGTGGATATTTGGTTTCTACAGGTCCAATTCTCTTCCCCCTTGCGTTTTATTATTAGTGTAGTGGAACTATTCAGATACTTAGAGTGAACACTGACTTGACTTTAAACTGTCAATTGTGTTCAGAGAGGTTATCTAATATATAACACTGCTTTACTACGACACATATGCTTAATAAATAAGTTAACAGAGAATTTTACCTAGCTCCAGTGATCCCCTTACAGCCCAAAAATAGCAACAGGGAAGACAACGCGCTTCACTATCTTGAAGATGACTTGAGATTTATCAGCATCGGCAGGATTATGAGCTCTACCAGATGCAGAAGCCAAGTAGGAATGAAAAAAACATTTTGGTAGATAAAATAGAGCCTAATTACCTAACACTTCAATGATAATTGTAGGACAATATGTATTATACAGATCCTACAATAATGAGGTCACAATAATCTAGTATTGTGAGAAGCATCGATAGACCCTGGGTGGCCAAACCTCCATAGATGTAGTAGAGTTCAAACCTGTAACCTATAGGTGAAAAGTAGATTATCCACACCAATGAACTATAGCTGCTTTGTGACGACAGACCTACAACCCGAATACAGTATGATGTCATATCTAATATAATTCTGCTTTTTTGAATAAGCACCAGGTCAACTTGTCGACAAGGATGAAGAAGTGAACATTTTCAAAATATTTGATCACTGAAGAAATGCACTAGGATGAATTTCATGCTCTTGTATACCTCTTAATTCAACGATAAGTCAGATAAATCTGCTCCAAACATCAGACTATGTTCAAGTTATCGTTATTCATTTACATAACTAATTCATAGTCCAGTTACTTTTTAAAATGAACAACATTTAGTAGTAATGAGAGGTGAAACACCCAAAGAGAGCTGAACTCAAGTATTTATAGTCACCATCATTAACTAAAACTGAATTTAAATGTTTTTGAGGATTAATTTATTGATTTCATGCTGGTGTTCATCGTGGAATGACTTCAGTTGTAGAGTCATCGAAAACCTGAGAGAATTGGACAGCCATGAAGTATCGAACTCATGACCTTTAGATTCCGCAGCCCGCATGTTACCATCGAGTGGCATACTAGGATGAAAAAGCTATCCAGTGGTCCTAGATTTCCAATGGTTTTCCGGCTGATGTCAGTCCGCTATGAATACTACCTCAAAATTATTATTAGCAATAGTATTATTGTTATAAAAATCAAGTCTCAAAATTTATATGACCACCATAATGTGATTACTGTTTGAATATTCATTATGATGTAGTTTATTTGGTGGTGGCTGACAGTGGAATCCAAGACAAGTGTCTCATGCTATTTGGGACTCGTCAGCTAGATGCCTCTATGTCTTAGTGATTGATGGTGTCTGCATCAAGACTCGGGCTCGGTAACTACTGTTTCAAGTGTTACCCACTAGGCCATTGGGGGAAGAGGTCCGCCTTTTGTGCAGCAGATGTCAGTTGTTGTCTATTCAGCAGTTCTACCCAGTGTAGCAACAGGAAATTACAAGTATCAAACAATAACCAATACCCGTCGCACAAGGGGTATCTCTGGTTCCTCAATGGCTTGAAGGATAACGCTTTAAGGTTTTAACCGATAGGTACTGGCCTGGAGTTCTGGTGCGAACACTCGCTGACTAAGGTGAAGGTACACCTAACTTAACGAGTCCTAAATAGGATTAGATGCACATGCTGATTTCCACTGCTAGCGTCAAGCTGACCTCAACACATTCTCATCAGGTTACACAGGTAAAAGGTAACAACCGATGTGATTCTGTAAACCCCATAACGTGTTAACTAATCTGATAGTAACTATAGATAATAGCTAGCAATGAGACTCATTAGTTGGATGCGCCATTGTCAAGGCATTCTCACCAGTAGTTCCCAACCAATTTGGTCCACTCGACGACGCGGAACTACACGCCATAATACGCTAGCTAATTGTTGTCGTATTTTACATACGATAAAAGTATATTACATACTTTTCAGGTCTCACTATGATATTGACTGATAACAAATGAATAGAAATGAGACAAGAAATATGCAAATATTAGTTACAGCTGGTAATAATTTACTTAATGATCAGAAGAAAATTTGTCTGACATCATGAAAGTTTACTCACCGCTAAGTATAATTTCATTTCTAAACATATTTTCTACTCGGGGCGCAGTTTTTGTTTTGATATACATCAACTTGAACTCATGTAGTATTATGTCGTTTTATATTATCATATCTGTTTAATTTCATCTAGAGAATATTAAATCTCTTGGTTAAAGTGTGCATCCTCATCATCAAAACTAACATAAGACCAGAGATTACTGTGAAATTATTCAAGTCGCC